TGCCAGGATGTCAAAGACTACCATGCATCCACCACAACCTACACGCCAAAGATCACAAGGAGGACAGCGACCCTGTTCCAGTTAGTGCTGTCTCTCTAATCTCACAGGGAAAGTAACTCTATCCAATTATCAGCTCTATACCAATAAAGCTGCATCCAAACTGAATGGGATATATTAATTTCATTGTACTGGTTGAATTACAGTGGTACTACCTGTGAGCACACAAGGCTTTAGTATATATAAAGAAAACACATTTCCTCTTAAGACTGTGGGGTAAGATTTGATTCTCTTAAAGTCAGCAAATGACACTGGGGGTGATTGAGGCCCAGTGACTCTGATAACAAATATTTTTGTAGCTGAATTCCCTTGCAGGGCAATTCATTACCTCCATACCCTGCTGGCGCATTCCAAATTTTATTTTTATTTCAAAATCAAAGCTAAATAACTAGAAAAATCATGTGGCTGAGCCAAACTGTGACTTTATGGGTTTTAATTTTTGAGATTAAAGCAAAGTACAAAGACACACCCAGTCAGCAAAGTCTGGAGACAATAAGATGTAAAGCAATCCTCCTTCTGACCTCACATTAACACAGAAATCACCCTACAGCATGCAAGTGTCAGCCAACAACGGCACCTACTTATTTCCTGTCAGCTTGTCCCTTTGATCTAACCTGATCCTTCTTCACTTTATTAAAAACGTTCTAATCTTTTGTCTTTGATCTCCCTGTAGGATTCTTCAAAGAGCTTCAAATTAGCAAACATGCAAACAACAAAAAAAAAAAATGTACTCTGTATCTGCAAGAAACAATGATGTGGGGAGCCGTTTCCTTCCTCAACACACAAGTTTAATGAGGGGCCGCATTTTAAAGCCAAAAGATGCCATAGTTATCTTGTTTATTGGCATTAGGGTGGATGACAGAGTCCAAGCTTTTTTACTGGGGGGTAGTTTGCTCTGAAGGTGTAACAAGGCAGCCCAGCAGGGGTAGCAAAAAAGCCATGTGCATACTTCATTCAGCATGCCAGATGAAAGGATTATGTCACATTCAAGAGCAACAAAGAGCTCTGTTTAAGTTTGTACCAGACTGGAACTGTGGGGCAGCCGTTAAAGACCACCAAGGTTTTAAATAAAACCGGACACTTTTAAGTTTCCTCTAGCTTTCCTTGTGGTAAATCCACCCAATACGAGGGGAACGTCAGTATCTCCCAAGAGGAAGATCTCTGAGGCTTTGAAGAGGAAAAGAAGTTTAATGTATTTTTATATATGTAAACCTCATATGTGTATTTTAAATATATATCTATATATGTATATTTTTTTCTTATTAAAGTTACCATCAAATTCAAGGATATCACCACATTAATTTTGTTCCACCTTAGACTTATTCAATGGCAAAATGTTTTTAACAGGGAAGAGCACTGCTCTAGGACGTCTTCTACCACATCACATAGCATCATTCCCCTCCTATAACTTTTATATAGTTAATATATAACTTTAATAACCCAGAGGTACACATGTTCTAAATACAATTGATGCTTTTTATTGTTGAACACTGCTCACCTCTGAAAGGGTTATAAAGCCAGGTTAGAAAGATTCTATAGGCTACACTAAATTCCTTGCATGTGCATCTACCTCTTGGCGCAGAGACTTGTTTTTAACTCTCACTTCCTTAAGAAGTAGATCCGTAGCCGGGCAAAATAATCCAAAATATCTTTGCCATATAATCCAGGTCACCCAAACACCCTCATGATTGCACTTAATAATCCATTCTCAGACCAACATCTACTGAAGTCAGTAAGACATTTTCACTGGTCTATGAAATCCTAGTTTGGAATTGAGAGACAAATCTTCTCAGTAAAGTCTTAATCCCATGGAAATATAACTAAACAGGATTTGACCCAAACTGGTAAACATGTACCTTGGCCAGTAGTCCTTATACTGTGCTCCATACTTCTAAAATTAGAACAGATGAAGTCCCCATACCCATTTTTTTTTTCACCTCTTTGTCATCCTAAAATCTACTATGCTTACAGGTAGCAGGTATATAACCTGAGAATTAAGTATGACTTAGGCAGTAGATCATTATAACTCTTCCAACTCAAAATGATGTAATTTATGTTAAAAGGCTATTGAAGATCAACACTGATATAATTGTTTATGGAGTACTCTAGTGAGGCTCTACATGATGCCCTGTACTGTCTCTTCTAATACTGGTTTTCTTAAGTGGTGCAGGAAACACTGCTGCTAGAACACAGACTATGCAGCTGCAAAGCTGTGCCAACAGCCCTTTTGTTGTCTATGTTAATGTCTACAATGGATTTGGTAGAATAAAGCAAAAATTTAAAAGACCCATTAGACAATGTATCAAGAGAATAAAAGCAAAACTGCAGAGATTTGTCTGTACAATTAAAAAAATAGTATGGTTATAAATGCATTTCTTGAAAAGCCTGGAGAAACAGTCCTAAAACGAGCAGCTCTTTTAGCACAGAAAAGCACTTTAGTCTAGGAGTTCCTGCATAAAATTTAAGAATTAGACCAACTGTAAATTGACATCTTTATGAAGAGACATATTTGAGGTTTGGACTTGTCAAACTCATTAACTGCTTAGACATTGATTACCCACTTTACTGATTTATAAAGACAAATAAAGGTGGTTTTATTTAGTCCAAAACCACACAGAAATATTCAGCAAAAAATTTTTGGAATTGTTACTATTATTTTTTTTTAATAGTTCACTAGCACTCAAAATCTGTCCACCAGCAAACAACATGCTATGCTATTATCCTGTGTGAGAGGGATCTTTCTACCAGATATTGTCCCTTGTGGCTGTTGTTAATGATGAAAGGCAGATCTCAGCCTTTCTAGGAATTGTGGCATGCTTGAGTGGTCCAGATGCATGGTCCCAGGGCAACTTCTTAGCAGGTTTCTTGACTTCTAGCTCTTACCTGAGCTGAGTCCACCATACAGCCTGCTTCCAGGCTCTGCAAAGATTATCTGTTTTCCCAGCTCCTTTCATTTCTCACAGCCTGGAACAGCCCCATTCAGCAGGGATTGAATGGACACCCGAAACGGGTGTCTTCTCCACACAGGACTCATTGGTCCACAAGTCTGGACACAAAATATTTCCTTAGAGGAAACATGACATAAACCTCAAAAAATACAGTTTGGAGAAATAGTGAGAAATGTGTGTACTTGTGAAACCATCAAGTAAAATCCAGATACCGTGACTCTGACAACCTGACTACAAATAGTTCTCAGAGTATACCTTTTGAAATTTCAAGTATATTCAGCGGGTTTGGGAAGTGTTGTTTTATGAGAACCTCAGAATTTTCTAATTTTCTTCTGTCAGAAAACTCAAAATGAGAAAGAACGCAGAAAATAAAAATTGAGGGCAGAGTAAAGTTATCTGGATGTTACCAGCCCTCTGGAAATGTTTACCTCTGGGACTATTTTTTATCTATCTGATCTATTTTGACAATCTCCACGTGCCACAAAACTAACAAAAAAATGAAAAGCCTCTCTTAAAGAGGGTAGAGCAATACAGTTACTAGCATTCAAGTTTGACTGAGACAAAAGCTAAAAAGCATGCTCTTCTCTGCTGAATTTTCATTAACACTTAATTCTGGAAGCCAAACTGCCATTTGTCATACTCTTTAATCCCCAAAATACGGTTATTAACACAGCCTGCAATCCAGTTCACATTTATCTACATACTAGTTGACAGGATACACACCCTGTCAATATCCTACTGAAGCTTCACAAAACCAGATTTATGGAAAACTTTAATGCTCTAGACTTCACTACTCTATTGTACACTGTACTTATCTACCTAACTCTCCAAAATCCATTTCCTCTTAAGAAAAAATAACAGCAGGAATCGCCAAAGCAGAATATTTTTAAGAACATCTAAATATAAGTACTTTGCCTGAAAGAATGTAAAGATAAAAATGAATGAGGTACAACTGTCTTCTTTTTACTTCACTGATCTATAGTCTCCTGGCCTGGCTGCTTCAGCACTGACACTGTAGGTAAATCTGCAAGTGCTTTTTGCTTCTCTAGAACAGCAACAGGTTCAACTGAAGCTCTTGGCGTGGCTTGGGAAATTTTACTTGTCTTATCCTCCTTCAAGCAGTCTAAGATGAAGCCATTACCATTACTGAATCTGCAGGAACTCTGCATGTAGTAACTGGATAGCTTAGAAATCAGAACCCAGCACATCAGAACATTGTGAATTGGGCCAAAGGGGATCACTTATTATTCCTGCCAAATTCTCTTTAAAGAAAAAAACCAAAAGACACCTTCACTGCAGTTGTAGCTTTCTGAAACAGTCTTTTTAGATCAATTACAATACAAATATACTCCTCCTTTAATCTCATACCCAGTCTATATTAAGTATATGTCCAGTAGGAATACAATACGAATTTAACATAATTGTCTTCAAAAATAGTAGCATTTTCCCTTGATTATAATAATTACTTTCTCCAGAACTCTTAAAATATATTCATAGATGAATTTTGACTTTGAAAATTTGTTATGATTATATAGTCAAATTAGCATTGCAAGTGTAAAGGTGGTATTTTATATATGTATGTTATCAACCTAATTACTCACGTTGACTGAAGCATCCACACACCGTATTCTCTCAGAGGCCTTCAAGAGGAATATTCATCTTGTGGCTAACACACTGGGCTGAGAATTAGTGATTTTGTTCCAGCTCATGGGCCTGACAAGTTTCTACATACTTCAGGCACATTACTACCTTTCATTGTCTCTTGTAACGTGACAATACAGTTTCAGCAGAGAGGTCAGCCATGCCTGTTACACCTTCCCAAATAGAATTGACTGTGTTGGACCTTGTCATTTCTAGAGCACTATTTATGAAGAAACCTGTTTTGTTCTTGCAGGAGTTGGCTGGCTTGATATTATACAAAGGACTTAAACTGATTCACTGGACCTCAATTACCAGAAATGAAGTCAAAAACTACTCGTGTTTTTTATTCAACAGGATGTATGTCACAGCTGAAGGAATAGCAGTGCCAGGTCAGCCCAAGGGCCTACCCGGGTCACCATCCACCTCCAACGCGGCCGTGAGGATGCACCCAGGAAGAACAAGACCGGGCCAGGCACGTGGTTAGTCCCTTGGCTTTCTTAGCCTCCAACTCTTGTCACTAAAAGTGACTTCCTGAACCATACCTGGGTTTTATGCCACCTCATCTTCAAAATGTAACCAGTCTGTTCCCTTGCATGTTCTTTCTGACCTCTCTGCTCACACCCTCTTCAACAGCAGCAGGGAAAATAAAAAACTCCTTTACCACTTTTATCTCGTGTTTGACTACCGCCACGAGCCGTTAGGCCACAGAGCAGTCATTTTCATGCACCATAAACTGTAAGGTAGGAAGCTGCTGGTTAGGCGGTGCTTCGCTTATCCCGCTAATTTCACCGTCAATTAGCAAACGAGGTCCGCTGGGGCGAGGCGGCCGAGCCCCGCGGGCACCTGAGGGAGGCCGAGGCCTCCCCCGCCGCGCCAGGGGGCGCCCGCGGCCACGCGCCGGGTAGCGCTGCGCGCGCCAGGCCACGGCTGCTGCACATCAACGAAATGCTGCAGTCGGACCGCGGGAGCAACGGGCCAGACACGGGAGTTGAGCTTGTCTCCTGCACTGGGCAAGGGGCAAGTGCTGCCATAATGAACATGATTTTTATAAAGCCTTGAGGCCGGGGTCTGAAACCAGCACTGCACGGGTACCATTTTATTACACAGAAACAGTGCCCTGCTCCTCCTAGTAGCAAGAACAACCTTGAACTAGACTCAGGCATGTTACATTTCACATCAGTAAACCTACTGCAACAAAATACACGTTTTGGAAACAATACCATGGTTAGAGAAGAACCAGTGTGACAGAACAGAGCTTGCTTTCTCCTAGAAAAGGTGCTGGGGCCTAGTATCCAAGAGAGGAACTGAAAAAAGTTACAACAAAAGCACCGAGACAATAGGCTTCATCATTCAAATCATAGTAGGCATCTACACAAAAAGATCTCACTTCACACCAACCTCCATGGGAAGAGGAGGAAGCTGTAAAAGCATGTGTTAAAGCACAGAGGTGAACGAAAGGCTTAAATCCTCACATGAAAATATGCTGCCTCCCTCTAGTGGGGTGTCTTTCTGTGAGTGTGTCTTATGTGGAGAAACTGCTTTATGAAGCTAAACAAAAGCATTTAAGCACTATACACACCTAGCCCAAGTTTAACAAGTCAAATCCATGCAGCTAGATTGTCAAGCACTATGGAACTGTTAGTGTACCACATCAGTGAGACTGAAGTTTTGGTCCTGCCACTGAATGTGGGCAGCTAGAGCAGCACTTGTCATGAAGAGTTTGACATGCAAGAACCAGTTAATATAGTTTTTCCTTTCAATGCTTGTGTCTTACCTTTATTAAGGGTGTTACAGAGCAATAGCCAGAACATGCCAGGTGGCTAACCAGAAAGGGGTTAACAGTAGTATTTAAGCAACATGTTTACACATAATTAAATTGTTCTCTATTCGTTTTTGTTTGTGGTGTTGAAATAGCGATGCTTATTTAAGAGAGAGAGACACTGTCTCTGGAGGATACCAAGAATACAACTCTTTTCCAAATGATCCCAAGCTTTCATTTCACAACTCCTGAAAACTGTCTGGAAAACTAAGATAGCACTGTCACTCCAGAAGCTTTCTTCCTTTTCGGACAGCTGTCTACAGAGGGCTTCCATAACTTAAGAAATCAGATCTTTTACCAAACATTAGTAAGCTTTCATTTTCACAGTAGCATTGGAAAAAACAAACATCTGTACCTTGCTCAAATTCATCCAGTTAGGCAATGTGAACAATCTACAGCTGTAGATTTGATTCTCTAAACAGTCTAGTTTCCAGTTTACAGCAGAACCAGTCCAAAAAGACAGAAGTTAGTTTACTTGGCTTCAGAGAACCTTACAAAGTCAATGAGGTAAATGTTACTAGGTCTACATTTTAAAGATAGTGAAGAAGTTGTACTCATCCATCATATCTTTTATTTTCTAATATCAGTATGTGATCATCTTTAGGGAAGTTGAGTGATAACAACTGAGGAACATACCAGCTGCACTTTACAGATTAACAGCCACAAAAATAGAATGCAACTATACAATCTCTGGGTTTCACAAAACTAGTTTTCATTTGTAACACTTGACGCAACACGATGAACTGCAACAAGTGAAGAAGCTACATCTGTAAAGTGCTATTTTTGTTAGCAGCGGCTAAAAAAAGCACAACTACAACAGATTGGGTATTCGGTGTTCAGATTGTCGATGTCCTCCAAATATTTCATTTCAGGCTCTGTGTTTTTTGATGAAATTGATGAGCCCATTTGTTGAGCTATCATGAGATGTCACTGGAGCATCTGACTCCAGTTCAGGCTCAATTTTCTTGGCAAGTTGTTTTCCAAGCTCAACTCTGCATTTGAAAAAGCAGGAGAAAAGAGAAACATTAGTGCTAACAACTTACAGTATTTACTATAAACCATTGACATGAAATAGGTGCCAGTAAAAAGGTAACTTGACATTTACAACAATAATACATGTTCTTTCCTTCACAAATAACTAACAAAGTTAGTATTATTCAGCTCATTGCCATTCATGAACAACTGGAGTTCTCGCAGCTGCTTAGCTGAACAGACAGTTCTCAAATTAGAGGATGTCTAAAGATAGAAAGTTTTGTTTCAGAAGTTAAGCCGAGTCTTTTCCCTTTCAGTACTCATTTGTGTTATGCAGCATGCATTCAGCTTGCTACTGTTCACTGCTGAACATGACATCACTCAGAACACTGTTTTGTAGCACCAAGACAAAGAACAGCTGAGCTGCAGGCCGGGAAGCCATCCCCAACACTGCAGCATGTTGTCCAGGAGTTACAGCCACACAGGGTAAGAACCCAGGATATTCCAACAGCTGCAAGGAACCAGGCTGGTTCTACGGCATCCTCACATTCCATAGTTAAGTTTTTGATGACATTCTAGATTTTGATATGTTGCAGTGTAAGCTGTACTTACTCAGCTTTTACTTACTCAGGCATCAGCTTTTTAGACAGTCTTGCATTTTGAGTTTCTACTACAATATTTTAGTTAAAGAACTTGCTATGGTAGCATGGCTCTAAGAAAACATATATAAAGATGTACCCTTCAGCTTTTAACAAAGCTTAGTGTAAGCTGCTATTCTAAGCCTGTAGAACAAACTTGCTCTTCAAAATAACTCCACACAGCATAGGCAGGTTTCACCTGAAAAATCTTACTAATTTCCCAATCCCTCTGTCTCTTGCATAAGTCTTCATACAGTATGTTGTACAATATTACTACAGATTAAAAAGAATCTGATGGCTACTGATTAAGTCTTCCATGTTAAAGAGTGACAAAGTGACAAATTCCTCATAAAGCTGCTGCTCTCCACATGGAACTTCACCACGAACCTTGGTCACAGGTGCAGCCTGCATTAGACCTAGGGTTCCTATATATGAAACCATCTGCCAAAAATGTCCTTTTATCTCCAGTGTAAGAAAATAGAGGTGGTCTGTTTTCTGCTGAACAGAAGCCATTCAAACTGCCTATGAATGTTTCTATAAGTAAAATAATTTTTTCCCCCTTCTGTAAGGGAACTTACTGTTCCTTTCTAACTCTCAAAGCATGTGTTCAGCCTGCTTGACTACTTCACTCATTATTACTGCCTCTTCTCTGCATTCAGAGTGTTTTACATCAAACTACACAAAGGTCCCTTGCTGAAGTTTTATCTGCAGAGTCATTACACATGGCTGAACAAGGATACATGGATAACTATCCACAGAATATTTGTTTTCATGTAAAAATAACCTATAATAATTTACTTTAAGTGTTACACTTATTTTCACTGTCTTTTCTCTAAATCACAACAGATGAATACCACAGGCAACAAGTATACAAGAAACAGATCAAGGAGACTTACCCCCACTGGTCATAACTGTTAATATCCCAGACAACTCCTTGAACAAATATCTTGTGCTCATACATGGCTATAAGCAGAAAGAGATTTATCAATAAATTTTACCAGATAGTCTTAATAAGCATTCACAGATGAGAGATCAGTTTACTTACCAATGATGGCTCCCAGAGTGAATGGGTTGAGTTTTGTAAACATGATGGAATTTGTGGGTCGATTTCCCTCAAAGACCTTTCAAAACAAGAGTTACATTGTTATTTAGTATGTTGTAAAAATTACAGCAGAAACTTGCAGTTCATTTCTTCTTTACAGCCCACACTGGACCATTTGTATCAGCAGCAAACAAAACCTTGTTTCAGGATTTAGCTTTAAAGGATAACAGCTTCAACCATAATTGCATCATTTTCGTATTTTCTTAGAAACACAATGGCAAGGTGTTGTCTCCAGGCACCATTACTGACTACTACAGGCTACAGCAAATAAAATACAAGTCACTGCCCCCGGGATATTGATAAGATGCTCATCTTCTCTGAGAAGCCTCAAAAGGCTTCCAGATCAGCATGCTTTAGCAAGAGTGCCATTCACAGACTGCTCCATGAGACCTGACAAGGTAGAACCTGTAACAGAACCTTCAGAGCTGTGAAGACAGTAGCACTTGACAGCCACCGGAGGGCACTGCCCCATTAACAAAATTCATCGAGTAGGAGACCAACACAATGCCCTCATCACCACAGTGTCCAAGTAGAGGAATGCTGCCAAGTACCAAAGCCTGTTTACCTTATGGGGAAGGAGCTTCTCTAGCGCATCTCCACTCAGTCCTGCTGCCTGAAGTTCCTTACGAGCTTCATCAGCAGTCTTTCCTTTCATCAAGGCCTCAGTCTGAGCAAGGAAGTTGGCCAAAAGGATCTAGCAGACAGAAATAAAATCGTCAATTCAAGCTACTGTTTCCTTACCTCAACTAGTGATACCTAGCGCTTGAATCTAGACCAAGACCTAACCTAGAGTTACAACTCTCAATATTACAGCAGTAAAATCTGCAGTAGTTTTAACTCCTTAATGCCTGGTGTTGATCTTTACATCAGCATGCCAGAACACCCAGTTACTATTTTAATACTGCATGTATCCAAAGAAAACCAGGACAGTTTTGCAGAATCCTGCCCCTGCTTAAACTGGCAGTAAGCCTCCCAGCGAGAGCAAAGGCACCAGGATTTCACACACCTATCACCCTTTATAGTCTATACTTTTATCCCTTGCTACACCATAATTTATGGAAAGCCAGGTGCAAAGATTCGTCAAAGGTAACCAAGATGTACTTACTCTATAGGAAGGTAAATCTTCATAGCATACC